TCTTTCTCTGGTCCAGGAGAAAGAGGTAGGAAAACAAAGATATTGTACAAGGATCTGTGCTTGAAAGAATCTGCTTGCTAGCTCTAAAGCAATGGTTTTTGCATAACATTAGCAAAACCGGTTTATCCTATGATTATATAGGCTGGAAATAAACGAGAACAACACCATTAATTCTCTTGGTTGATAAAGAGTTATGTGTGCATGTTGCTTTCAATAATTGCAGAGGTGATGCATCAGGTTCATGTTAACAAGCCTTAAACTAGAGGTTGAAAAGGCTTTGTTTCTGAGATAAGGAATGTTGATGTTGTCCAACATGTTTGTTTCTGGTCTTCATCTACTAATCTTACAGTGAAAAGATACTGCTTATCTCTTGGGAATCTTCTGTATAGGAAGGAAGAGGGCAGGGAGTGGCCAGGGAGAGCAAGGAACTGCCATGTAATGTGTGTTAGAGTGAGGCTCTTGTGGGAATGTACTGCAATAAGTGAATTGGTTTCCTTTCAAGTGCTAAAAAGAAGTCATTAAAGTTCTTTTTGATATGTGCTTGACTCCTTCATTCTCTGACCATTGTAGTTTATAATAACATGCAAGTAAAGTTCTTATGCTTTTGATGGTATGCTATTACTTCTATAAAATACTTTTTCTGCAAGGTGTGGAAAGACTTTCTTGAGACCAAATGAGCACAGAGATGGTGTGACAGAATAATGAAAGATTCCCATCTGGCTACCAGCTACAGTCTAAAAACCATAGAGTTTGTGTTGCAGAATTTAAGTTGCGTATAAGTGGCTCAACTACATTAGCTTTGCTATTTTGAAGTGAATTTCCAGATCCTTCCCACTTATCTGTCTTCAATTTGCAGAGCACGCAAACAAGGTCCCCTTGGATGAAATTAAACACAAAGCTGCATTCAAGAACTTGTTGTGTTCCCTCCACATCTGGACATGCAGTCCACAGAACTAGCCTGAAGCTACTCCACAGTATATTCTTGTGAAGTGCACAGGACAGGGACACCAGGTCCCCTGTGTTACTTGTTTCACTCTACAGAGCCATTCCTATTGGACTGTGAAATGTGGATGAAGTCCAGATTTCTGCTGACTGAGTAACTGTCAATTCTTGAAACTGCAGTCTGATATGAACACCTAAAGGACTTGCAGGAGGGAAGAGCAGTCCCATGCCAAATGACATCCTATTTAATTTAGTTAAAGAGTAGAAATACCCTGGGGAAGATACCCAAAATAAAGGTGCTGTTTCTGTGAGCAAGCAGGCTGCAGCACAGGAAAATGTGTTGCTTCAGGGGAAAATTTCAGCTTGCATGGCCATGTTTGAACCTGTGGCTGAGAGAAAAGCTTTGTTCGCATTCATGTTCGCATGAATCTGAGTTTTATAGCCTATTGATTTCAAAGAACTAGAAAAGATCTAAGGGAATTTTTTACCAAATGGCATTTGCCTTGCTTAGTTTGCAGCCAGCAATTTATTTGGGGGTATTAAAGAGGATCCTTGGAAGTCTGGATTAGATAAGATTGAGAGCAGTGCTGGGCAAAAGTCTTCAATGAGAAGGACTTGAATTGAGACAGGTGGGAACTTTTTTTTTTCTTTTTTTTTGAAGTAGTAATTCAATAGGAGAAAAAAAGTGAAGAAGTCTCTCCTGATTCCCAAGAGATCAAGCAGCAAAAGTAGTCATTGTCTAGCTTGCTGTTGAATGTTTGTGGTGTCTGTGTCAGTTGGCTTCTGTTCACTTTCTTACCCATAGAGAACACTACTGATCACTGCCCAGAAATAACTGCATCCCATGCTCCACCACTACCCAAGTCTAAGCCTAAATCTAAAAAAGCTCCGCTACCACCAAAAAATGCTCTTGCTGCTTCTACCACCACCAGCCATAAGAGTAATGAAGCACCTCATGCTAAAAAAAAGGGAAAGGCTCCTGTTAAGCAGCCTCCTCTCCCGCCTCCCAAGCCAACAAGCCACAGTGCAAATCGAGAAGTTGGTGAGTACTGCACAGGCAGTGCCAGTTCTGGTGGGTGCATGTGCATGAGGGGCTTGGTCCTCAGGACTTCTGCTTTTGTACGTAGCTATGCTACTAAAGAGCATGCCACTGATGTTTTTAGCTAACATCTCACTGAGCTCTGGTTCTGCTGTCTGCAAACACCTCAGATGAATCATTTTGCTGTCTAACAAATGTATGCACAACACCAAGCACAACAGAGACTATACTGAATTCCCAATTGACGTGCAAGTGCTGGCTATAAAATGACTCAGAGAACTGTTGAAGGATCAGCAAGGAAAGAGGTGACTTTTGGAAACAAATACATCTGAACTGCCCCAAAGTAAATCTACTGATTTTTCTGCAGCCTGCAGTTATGCTAGATTTTATGTAGCTGTTCTAAGGTACTGATCTCGAGTTCAAGTGGTTGTGATTTAGACAGTGACCAAAATGAAATCATGCAAATGTAATTTGAATGCAAACAATATTACGATGAATTGAGTATATATATATATTGGCTAACTTATACAAACCTTGCATTCTCAATCCTCTTTCAATCTTCCAAAGTCCTTCAATCCCTCCAGTTTTCTCTCCAAGTATACTTCTACATAACTTGTACATTTTGGCAAGTGTTGTATTTGAAGCATACAGAAGAGGACTGTTTGAAAGCACTGCAAGAATGCTTAAGTTACAATATTAACTTGGTATTAACTGTCCCTTCTACATCAATAGGCCACAAGAATAAACACGTTGAAAACCCAGAATTTGCTGCTTGTATTTCACTTTCGCATTGAAAACTGTTACTCTCAGCTGAAAGAAGCTTGTAACAGCACACCTTTCAGAAACAGAACAACCCAGTGGGTAGAAAAGTGTTTAGGCTTTTGACTGGTAACAAGCTCTCAGATATGTCAGTTCATAAATTAAAATACATTCAAATTCCAGATTTGTCTTTTAGTAGTCTTGCTGAAATTTCAGGTGGTACTTGAGACCATATGGATATAAAATATATCAATGTGCCCCTTGTACAAAATAGCACATATTCTATGAATAATTTCTTTCAGTGTTGGGTTTATTGTTTTCATCTGCAATACTTAATAAACAGAACTGGTTGGGAGTGATATTTTATAGTTGAGCTTTATCACATCCCTGTGAAAGTGAATACAGTGATCCAGTCCCGTGAAGGAGAACAGGAATATGAGGAACTGAAGTTACTCAATAGATTTCCAAACTGAAATAGTGGAGTTAGGATGAGCGTTAACATAAGTTTAACATAAGCATGAATGTTTGCAACAAAGTTGAATAATGTTCATCAGCTTTTTTATGTAATAAAAATCTAAGTTTTCTACTAAAAAAAAGGGACTTGATAGGAAATTGTTAACCAGCCCAGTTTAAAGCAATAACAGCAATAGCACTATTGACTTGAGTCATAGTGTGGGGAGAATTTCTCTGGGAGAATTCTTTCTGTTCCTGATTGCAAGACCAAAAAGGTTCCAAGAACAATGTAAGGCTTCATTCAATGGAAACATCTTTTTAACTTTTCCCAGTAATAATTATAGTGTATTTGTATTGTGCTGGAGTTCTTGAGGCTAGGCATGTACCTTTGTTTCATTGATTGGAACCTGTGTTTAAGTGCTTTGCTGAATCAGAACCAGAGCCTTTTGTTAGTACCATCCACTTACTCAGTAAGGTTTCTGCTCAGTAATATGCAGGTTGAAGCCACTATTTATTTCCACTGCAATTATGAACTATTGCTTATAGCAATTCTTTGTTTCTTTGCTGGTAAGTGAAGTCAGTGATTTGTAGTAGATGTGACTGATAAGAGCAAATATCAATAGGTCCTGCACTGTGCCCTGTAGAGTGGCCTCAGAGCACATAAGGACAGTGATTTGCCTGAAGCCATGAGTTGTTGCAGATTTTTGCAGATGTGCTGAAAGCTGCACAGCTCTCTAAATGTTTATAAACCATAATGTTCTCCTGCAGAAGAGAACGGTATAATGTGTCTTTTGATATATAATCTTTCGAATTATTTTCCATTTTCTTTGAGGCCGAGAGCAGCATCACTGTGAGAGCTGTTTTTGTACCATGAGCTTATTGGTGCGAGCGTCTGTATTTTGGTTCTATCCTAACCTGCTCAGGTTTTGTTTTTATTTAAATGCTTATAGGCCTTTCAGCAGATTTCTTTTACAGCTTTCTGTTCTGCTCCGTAAGCTTAGCTTCGAGGTTGCTGTGCAACTTTATAATGCTTTCACTTGTGCTCTTGAGGTTAATGCACTACAGCAGAAGAGTTTGAGTTGGATGCATTTTGATGAAAAGGACTGAACTGTAAGATGGTTGTCATTTTTGTTGCTTTTTAAATGTAAGTTCAAAGTCTGAAGCTCCCAGTCCAGATGATGGCTGTTTCAACACAGCAGCCAGAAATGCGACTGGAATGCAAATGGGAATACCAGTCTAGCTGATCTCTCTTGCAATCTTGCACACTGACCATGTGTGTTTCAATATAGTAAGTATTACAGCAACAGACAGTAACATTACTTACTAGTCAGCAACAAGTGTCTTGTGTCACCTTGTTTTCAATGCTGAGCCGGTCACTGGCAAAACTAAGAGCTCCAGTACATACAGGAGGTCTTTAATGCCTCTTTGCTTCAGGAGATCATTTGTGCAGAATGAGATCAGTGGTTTCTGTCTCTGTTAAATGGATGTACCCGCTGAACTCAAAAGTGCATCTTGTTTTAATGGCCCTCTGCTGCTGGCCATTAACTAGGAACACGCAACTTGAAAGAATATTGTGAAATGTGATTAACTGATGCCCACAGGGATCCTGATTTGTCCACTGAAAGATGTACAGAAAATCAAAGTGTTCAGTATTTACTCATCTCAAACATATAGATGAAGGGTTGTAGAAATCTCAAGCGTGTTTTTTCATTTTTTAAAGTATCAGCACAAAAGTCAACTAATGCAAAAAGACGCAAGAATTGTACAGTTACAAGACTGCAAAATGCTTTTTCTTTTCTTATTTTAGCTAGTGCTACACATGCTAAAAAAACACCAGTCTCCAAGTCCTCTTCATCACCATCTACTTCGTCCACATCATCTCATCCCAAAGCCTCTAAAGAGACTTCCAGCAAATCAGGCACATCAGGAACTCCCAGGGGCAAGAAAAGGCCTGGGAAACAAACATCTTCACGAACGGCACCAGATGGGGCTGCCTCTTCCCCTTCAGGTGCCAGTACCATCAAGTTGGAAGTGAAGGCAGAAAAATCTGAGCCTGAGCAACCTTCCAGTGTAATTCCTGAAACAGAGGATGTAGGCGAACCAAGCAAGCTGGTTGTCCCCCCTCCTCCCATCACTGCTCCTCCTCCACCCCCACCCCCACCTCCACCTCCACCTCCTTTTACTTCTGCAGCTGCTCAACTCATTGTGTCCTCAGATGCCCAAGATCCATCTGTTCCTGGATCAGATAGTAAACCTCTTCTCCAGGCTGAGCGAGGCACAGATGAGGGCTTGAGCAGTACAACCTCAGACAGCAGTCCAGATGTTCGTGGAGAGGACACAAAAAGGTGAGATGGTCATTGGTATGTCATTGCTGTTATTAAAAAATAGCAAAGCCTACAGCTGAGGGAGCCAGGTTTCTAGTGTTACATTGCATGTCAGCACAATTTGTTCTGTGCATTTTAGTCTATATTCTCCTGTGGTACCGAAGGATTCCCCAAGATGTCCTTTCTTGTCATCTGCCAAGTACATTATTGCTTGGCTTAATACAGCTTGCCTTGTTGCACTGACACAGGTGGCATAGAGAATCTCTGGGTTCCCCATCCCCGGAGGTGTTCATGGTCAGGTTGGAGCCCTGGGCAGCCTATGTGGGGGGTGGCAGCCCTGCCCATGGCATAGGGTTGGGGCCAAGTGGGCTTTAAGGTCCCTTCCAACCCAAGCTATTCTGTGATTCTGTGAATAAGACCCCTGTGTTCAACTGCTCAGCTAGTCTCAGATAATACTTTCATTTCTCTCTCATAAAAGCAATCAAGAAAGGATGCTGAATTATGAGGTGGTTTGTTTTGGTTTTGTTTTACTTTTTTTGTAGATTTTGTAGCTGAATTTACTTGTAGGCTTAATGACAGTTTAAGACTTTGGTTAGTAAATGTTTCATCTGCCACTGCCCGATACCTTTTCTTAGTCTCAGATACCATAAAATCTAGTCAAGAACAAGTTCATAATTACATGTTTTAAGCAAAATAGTTGGCAGCAAGGAAATGATTGATGTTAATCTGTCTTTTCCCTGACAAAAGAACCAGTGTCTTTCATAACAACCCAAGAGGATTTAATCAATGGTACCAGTGGCCTAGAGAATTTCCTTTAGATAGAGGAAGTCTTGCTGGTACATCTATGCCAGTGTTACATTCCTGTGCTGCATCTCTCCTTGATCACACATTCGTTTATGAAAAGGATTTTCCCATGGCAGACGGACACTCTGCTGCTCATTTCCATGTTCATCAGTGATGGAAATGAACATTTTGCTCTCATCAGTAATGAAACTGTATTTGCAGTAAATACAGTCGCTCATCCAGAACAGGAAGCTTTGCAATCCTGCCTGCTCTCTGACTCACTCCTCTTACCCTCAACTTTACGAGCTGCTTTTCTCTTCTCATTATCCTTTATTTGCTATTGGTCCCATTGCACAAGAAATAAACAAGAACAGTGATGTTTCTGTATTCAAACTTTGCAGCTTATCATTTCAGGCCTCATCTTTCTTCCTGACAGACGTATATAGGTGTGTACACCCATGTGCATACACATCACTGCATAGCTTGTACATCCATATGATTTTAGAAACAGAGAAGTTAGTTTGAACAACTGAACTTTTATTTTCATTTTTGCTTTTATAATTCATCTCCCATTTGAGTTCTGTGCTGCTTGAATTAACGTAACATCGTGTCTGTTTATGAATTAGCAGCTTGGCTAGCAAAGACAACCAAGAAGCAAAGGCAGCTGGCAAGACCCACTCTGAACCAGCAGAGAAGACTTCTGATGCTGCTGCTGCTGCTGCTGAGAGTGAAAGCAGCAGAGAGAGCCATGGCAGTGACTCTGATTCTGATGGGCCCATACTTTACACAGATGATGATGACGACGATGATGATGATAATGCGAGTGCTGAAAGTAAGCCCCTAACAAAAGGAGTGTACTGGGGAAGGTGTGACCAGCTCAGGTTGTATACATTTGTCCTTGGCTGGCTCAGAGGACCTGCTAAGTGTCTGTGGTTGCTAGATTGCTAAACTGGAGCTCAGTGCTTGCGCACAATCCGAAGACACCTACATCCAAGTGAGTTTTGTGTAGCTGACCCTATTTAGTTATGACCTGCAGGAGAGCAAAGACCAGGGCAGAGCTTTTAGCAAGCACATCGTTCTGTGGGTGATTCTGTTCCAAGGTGCAGTGCTGCTGCAGGGCACCTTACCAAGCAGTTGCTCCCTACCTTTTACATATTACATATGAGCCTGCTTGGTACCTGTTACTGCAAAGTGAAGAGAGGCACATATGGCTTCAAGAAATGATTATGTATAGTTTTACCACTGCTGGTAAATGCTTCTCCACTCCCAAACAATTGTGATCAAAAACTTGCTGAGGCCCATGCACTTTAAGCATTGCATAGGAATGGAGATGGGGGGAGCAGGTTCAGGAAAAGAAGAGGGTGTGACAAGATCTGCCACTGTTGGATGTGTGTTGCCCCCTCAGAATATCAGGAGACAACAGAACTGCTTCCAGAGCTGGCTGATGCTAATGCTAACAGAACTGCGTGGCTGTTGTCCGTACTATGTCTGTCCTACTGACAAAGAGATTGCTTCAGTGCCTGGGGCTGCTGCCTAGAATACTTCACAAGCACTCAGGGCATTTTTCTAAACTGTGTTTTTCATTTTAGTTAACAAAAGAGTTAAAGATAGAAAACACTATGCAAGAAATAAGTGACATAAGAGAGAGAAAAAAAAAAAAAAAGGAAGAGGGACTAGATGAGACAATGAGGCTAAACCTTTAGAAGCTTAAGAAAAAGGGCAGCATTTTGCAAACTGTACTGAGTAGGTAAATAAATCAACTTGTAATGTATCATACTTCAAAGACATGTAAATGTAGATTTGTCGTTTTTGCCTTATTGCTTCACAGACAATGAATGATCCTTCTAAAATTCCTCTATTGTTCTGGCTGTTAGCTTTTTCAACCAAGTCTTCCAACTTTTTATTTTTGTGAGCTGAGTTGAAACTATTTTCCTTTTGATGTTAATTAAAATTCCTTTCCTGCATGTGGGAACAAGGCTGCTCTGGGGAAGTATTAAAGTCCTTACTTGATTTGTGTCTGTAACCTAAGCATGAATGAACTAAATCCACCCTCCTCTTCACTTCCTCAGGCTCTTTGGCAAGTAAAATTCGTCGTAGGGATACTCTTGCTATCAAACTTGGCAACAGACCATCTAAGAAAGAACTAGAAGACAAAAACATCCTGCAGCGTACATCTGAAGAGGAGAGGCAGGAAATCAGACATCAGATTGGAACGAAGCTTGTGAGGTATCAGTTGCAGAATAAATGTGGCTTTACTGAGTTGGACTAGATGACCATTAAGGATCCCTTCCAACTAAAAAGGCTCTGTGATTGGCAGGGACTTGAGCTTACATATCCCCTTCTCAGTCAGAGCTGTAGTTTCGTACACAAGCAGTATGCCTGTGCATGTTCCTGCTTTCTGTCCCTTCCTGCTCTTCTCCTGTTCTCTAAAATGTTTATTTGTGTACTGATTCCAACAAAAGATATTAACATAGACTGACTTTGTAGATTACTACTGTAGATTACCTCACCTCTGAGGAGTATCTTTCTCATACTTTAAACTCCTACAGGACTTAAGATAATTGCATGAAAAAAAGAAGAAAAAAATCACCTGTATTTACAAACTTAAGAAAAATCCTCTGAAGTGTTAATTCTGTTTTTTTTATAGTTCTCTGAGAAGAGACTACAATATGTCTATGTTTTCTCAGGTCTGTTCTTATTTCTCTTGCGCTCAAAAATGTTATCCAGACAGACTTGGAGGATGTCCTGTGTTTGTTAGAGATTTCCAGATATTGGGCAGTGCAGCCAGTGGTCCTCCAGTACAGAAGCACAGCAGCCTGGTCCCAGCACTTAGCACAAGGCTGACGTGCTCTGTGAACTGGATGACCAACTAATATATTCCATTTCATAGTTATAAGAAGGATACATCTTCATAGGACCTGAGGGACATTTTTCTTCTGCTAATAAAGAAGCCTGGTTGTTATCACTGCTTTCCTAACCAGATTCCAGCTTTGGTAATCACATCCCACTTATCTGTATTTCCCACGGGACTGATGCTGAACAAGCTGCTCTTTGATTCCTACCCTGAACTCTCTTGTCTGGCATTGCCAGTTCTGCCCAGCTGGTACCTTTACCATGTAGCCATATTCAGTGACAGGCAACAACAGGCATGAAAAGCTTATGGTGTGCATTGCAATACTAGGGTTGCGCACAGGTCTGAGATTATGACCAAGATTATGGCATCCCATTCCTAGTGTTGGGGTCAGCACCTGACAGCAGAGATATGGTGGAAAGGTGGCAGAAAGCAGCAGAAGCCCTGTTCCCACAGTGCAGCCAGTGTTGGGTCCGGAACATCATGCAGTGTGGAGTTTCCATTTGATGGTGATGAGCATCCCCCAGGTCTTCTCCTCTGTATGCAGGTGTTGCGAATGTGCTAAGGATTCTTTGAATCAGATGGTTTGTTGAAGCTGCAGATGATCTATAGTGAACTGTGTGGGGGTTGTGGAGCAGAGGCTAAAAGAACTTCCAACCTCTAAGACATCTGCAGCATGCAATTTTTGTGCTGAAAAACAGAATAGCCTTTGCATTCAAAATACCTGAGAACAATCTTATGACTGCACAACTTACCGTAATTAGAATGCCTAGGAACAAAAGGCATGTATATACCCTTTTATAAAATTACACCTGTAAATGAGAAATTTAAATTTGCTGGTGCAATTTCTGTAGTACTGTGCAAGTATCACTTCTGTATTCAAGTGGTGAGAATATAAATGTTAAATGCCTACTCAGTGTGGAAGTTACATGCACTAATATTATAACTGTGAATGGAAATTGCCTGTTGTTGAATACCTCCACATAGCTTTATGACAATGGCTGTATTAGAAGGACGTAAGCAGCATTTCAAATTGTAAGTTGTGATTTGGATTCTAAATGAGCCATTTATTTTGCTCTTACAGGAGACTTAGCCAGAGGCCTACAACTGAAGAGCTAGAGCAGAGAAATATCCTGAAGCGTAAGTATTTTATTCATCTTTAAGTTAGTATTTACTTAGAAAGTGAGAACAGCATATGTTGGATTCATATGGAAGCCTGATCATTGTTACTCTCACGTTAGATCCATAGCTGGAAAAAATTGATGTTCTTGAAAATAATATGTCAACACTAGACTTGTATACTAACCTGGAATGGTAGCTGTGAAAATTGCGCACATTCAAGATGCTGAGTTTTACTTGTCACCAACCCACTTCTTGAAGCTGGTCCCAAAGCCCAGGAATGAATTAGATACCCCTTATAAGTAGTTCTAGGCTGGTTAAACTTCCACCTAGTGCTTCTGAGGAGGGAGAGGGAATATCAGTAGGAGCTGGACGTGGGATATAAGGGCAGAGTTCGGAAAGTGGACAAAATTCATGGGCTGATCGCTGTCACCTGGTCAGGCCTACAAATCAAGGAGGAGTAATAATTATTGGCTTTTAGGCAACTGTTTGTGCCAATAAAATTCTCTTGTGGAAACTCTGTGTAAGAGTGTCATGTCCTACTTGAAAGCAGAAGCTACTGTTTATGCACTATGGTGCACGGAAGAGGGCTTAAATGACTTCAGTCCAATACATAACGTGAATGGACTTTCTAAGAGCATCATTTCTTAACCTGTAGATCACACAGTCATAATAAAGATAAATTGTGAAATACAGAAGTATTTTAAGTGAAAAACAGCTCATGCTGAACTATGTGAGAAAAGTAATTCAAGTCTTCGGTGGTCCAGGATACGGCCACTGAGCTGGGAATGCCAGCTGGGCTTCTCTGTCCAGCTAATCCATAGATGACTGAACTACCAGCATACCCTTAGTGTATTTAACATCACTTTTACCATTACTTATTCTGAGCACAGATTTTGCAATAAGAATCTCAAGATTAGAAAGCAGTTAATAGATTTCTACTCCTGTTTCAGCTTATTTATTGATGTCTTTGGTAGAGTACAGCGCTTTGCGCTCAATGCCTCTTTGCTGTTCTTTTCCTTAGTAGCACACCATCATTCCCTCTTGTTTTTCCTGAAAGGGACAAGGGAAAGCAAAAAGAAATGCTGGAGCCCAAGCCATTCTATGATTCTATGAATGCAGACTTATAAATGGCAAAAAAAAAAAAAAAAGAAAGCTGAGACACTTAATCTGCTTTTTGCTCATAGCAGAAATATAAAATATTTCAAGTTAATCTTTAAAAAGCAAAGCAAAATACAAGAAAAAACAGTGTTTGTAATGGCATTCTGGCCAGAGCCCTTTGAGACTGCAAGTTCTTTCTCAGCTCTAAAACTTTCATATTATTTATTAAAACGGTTACATTTCCTTACAGAGGATCATTCAAAAATGTTTACATGTCTTAGATGCCTTTGTTGTTGCAAGTAACTTTTGTGAGTAAGTGGAGGTTTCTTTCATAAAGCTTCCTTCCTCCTATTTTTAAGCAGTGCGTGGGGAAAAGGGGTTATATTATTGCTCATAAGTAAACTGCAACTAAAGGAAACCATTGTTTTGAGCGGTATTTATCAGAATTAGAGATTATATTAAGTGGCAAAGATCCAAGTGTTTATTTTAAGCTTAAGTGCAAGCCAAATCCTTCAAGAGTTTCAGGAAAAGTCCTTATTTTTTCTTTTTTTCTCTTTACAGTTAAAGTGAAGAAATCAGTGTTGCAAGTTTTGTTTTGATAATATTACCAGATAAACCAGTTACTAAAAAATTGTTGGATATAATGGCAAGACATTGCAGGCTGATTTCTGTAAAAACAATTTGAATAAAACTAACCAGGCTTCTGAGTCTTCCCACACTAAAACAAAGTTATGATAACTCAAGAGTCCACTTGAAGGAATAGATAAAGCCCTGTGTTTTTAATACAGACAGTTCTGAGCTAGTAGTATTTATGGCATTGTGGCAAAGAAACTTTTTATTCTTCCAGAAGTTTTGGATTTAGATAATGGTATTTTTTCCTGTATTTATAAAGGGCAGTGAAGTTCTTGTTCTGCACACCTGCACGCTTGCCCGTGCTGGCTTTGTAAAAAGCAGGGTTTAGCCCCTGTTGCTGGTTAGGGGATATTAATGATTATCTTTGCTTTTAAAACCAGGAAAGAGGAGCTGCTTCTTGCATTCTGCAGCATTTCAAGAGGCAAGCACTTTGTTTGTCTTTTCTTTCTCCTTCCTCAGCGAGCCCGCAGAAAAGTCTAAACATAGCTAATCCCCACAGGGACACAATGGAAAGTTTGGTTTCACGCTCCTGGAGTGCTTTATGGTCAAGACCCGGACAGTCCTCAGGCAGAGCAATTCCTCTCTTCTCTCCCCTCCACTGCAGGCAAGGAAGGAGGGAAGCCCCCCCTTGCTGGGACCTGATCAGAGATTACTGCAAGAGAAAGGCAATTGCTCAGCTGGTGCTTTGCCAGTTCAGCAGCAGGACATTTGAGGGGACTTGCAGCTGGGAACGCTGTGTTTATGCTTTCTTTCTCCACTTCACACAGATCAGAACTGCTTTTAAAACTGACTGAAACCAGTCAGAAGGGTGCTTCTGTGCGTCACTGTGTTCCTGTTTGGATGAATGAGTCAATTCATACCTGCAGTGTCACTTGGTGTCTGGGTGGGATTTTCTGCAATACCTGAAAGACCATGAGCCCCATTATTTTTAGTGCATTTATAGAATCTCAGAATGGCTTGGGTTGGAAGGGACCTTAAAGACCATCTTGCTATGGGGCTGCCACTCACCAGCTCAGGCTGCCAGGGCCCCATTCAACCTAGCCTTAAATACCTCCAGGGATGGAGCATCCAGAACTTCTCTGGGCAGTTTGTTCCAGTGCCTCACCACCTTCTGGGTAAATAATGTACTCCTAATATCTAATCTAAATTTCCCCTCCTTTGGTTTATAGCCATACTCCCTTGTCCTGTCACTCTCAGACTGTGTAAAAAAAATCTCTCTCCTGTTTATAAGCTTCCTTCAGGTAGTGGCAGGCCACAGTGAGGTCTCCCCGGAGCCTTATATTCTCTAGACTGAACAATCCCATCTTCCTCAGCCTTTCTCCATAAGAAAGGTGCTCTAGCCCTCTGATCATCTTTGTGGCCCTCCTCCTGACCTGTCCCAACAGCTCCAGATCCTTCTTGTGCTGCACTAGATGCAGTACTGCAAGTGGGGGCTCACAAAGGCAGAGCAGAGAGGGACAATCACCTCCCTCTCACTGCTGTCATCCCTTTTCTGATGCTGCTCAGGATACATTTGGCCTTCTGGGCTTCAAGAGCTGCTGTCTGTTCACCAGACCCCTAAGTCCTTCTTCAGAGGATTACTCTCAGTGAATTCTTCTCCCAGTCTGTACTCATATTTTGGTGCAATGCATCTTCTTGTATCATTACAGCAAAACTTCTACTTTGAAAGACCAAATCACATTTTAAGTGTCAGTAAGAGTTTGTATCAAGGCAGTGTTTCTGCAGCACTGTTCCACTCAGCAGTCTGGAGAGGTGCAATTCCAGGTATTGCAGGAATGACGGGGACTTGTCAGTGCCATCAATCAGGGGCTGCTGGAGAAACAATGGATTCAAAATGCTAACAAACAGCAGCCACCAGATTTCAGTCCTTTTTCTTTAGCTCTTGAGTTTTCTTTCTAGAAGTAAAAAACTTGAATGTGTAACTGCATATATGTGTATCCAGTGATTCATTTATGCAGTTGCATTTTCTGTATAAGAAATGGGACTAAAGTGACACATGAAAGGACAAAAATATGTATGTCAAGCAAATCACAGCTGAACGGAACCTTAAAATCATAATTGGTGTTTAATTACCTCAGTTATCGTGTCTATTGGCAGCAAAGACATTATGTTTGAACAAAAGTCTCCAAATAACAGTATATTATGTCTGCATTCTTTAGTTTTTGTCAGTTTACAGTTCCTCAGTGGAAACAGGCCATTCATTTATTTGTAGTTTAAGAGAAAAGCTATAGATAAATCATGAACTATATGTGCATTTTAATGTTTTAATAAAATCACCATCAACAACAGACCCAGGCTAACGTCGGCCACAGGCCTGTATGACTGCATCTTGCTGATGGAAATCTAGGGTTGGGATCTTCTAAAGCGGTTCTTGGACTGGCACTGCCTTTTATTTGCTGTCTTCACTTTCTTCTTTTTGCTTTTTTTTTTATCATTTTCCCTCTTCCCCTTTCCCTTGTTTCTTCTTACATGAGCACCTTCAAGTCAGCAAAGAACACGTGCAAGTACCACAAGGTGACATGTCGTGGTGTTACCCCAGTATACCTGCCACAACATGGGAACCTCTTTGCAGCCAGGTTGCCTATACTAATACAGCAGATTGGCCATAGCTGAGCCACGCTGGGATTTAAAAGTGCCTTTTTGTCTATACTGGTTGACTGTGTCCACAACGGTCAAATGGATTTTAAATTTGTAGTTAACTTGGAATCACAACTTGGAATCCACAACCCCTAACTTTGAATAAACCAGAATCAGAATGCTGCAAATATTTCCAGGTGGTGTATTTCAGCCACAACAAAGTTAAGCTTGCATGTAATCATGATGTGGACCAATAATGCAAATAGTGTTCTTCAGAACATGCGTCAATTTAAAAAAAGGCTGAGTCCATATTCTTGTCACTTGCACTTAAGAAACCAGATTTGGTTAGTTCAGAAATGTATTAATAATTTGTTTCATTTTCATGCCCAAATGCTTTCAGAAAATGTACGTGTAATGTTATTCTGTTCTCATTCAAGTAATTGAAACATTAGACAGCTTTTTTCGGGGTACTTCTTGCCTGCTGTTTTGCAGAAAGGAAACATCAGAAGCCTCTTCTTTGTTACGTTCTTGATCCGTCATGGTGACTTAATATGTCTACAGAATTGCAGGGAAATTAGGCTATGAAATAGAAATGAGAGCACACGGAATCAAAAAGCAGAGAACATGTGCAGGGTCACCATAAAATATGAGGAAATGTGAGCCAAAACTTGAAGTCCCGAAGCTTTCAAGCATGGGAAATAAGCATGTGCTGATATAATGCTTAAATATTCACTGCTTTTTATCTCTTTTAAAAACAGAGAAGAATGAAGAAGAGGAACAGGAAGCCAAAAGGGAAATAAAACGTAGACTCAGTAGAAAGGTAATGACGTAAGTTTTTGTATTGTGCTTTTGTGTACATAGGATTATTTTTTTTTGTAAGACTTGAATAATCAGTGGACATACATTACTGCAAGTAGTCATGCCTCCAGATTAGAAATCTGTTTAAAGAGCAATACAAGCCAATATCCTTTTAGGAGGAGACTCCATTAATTCCAATTTCCCATACCTTAGGAAAGCATACATTCTGGCCATGCTTAGTATTTGTCTATGTAATCAAGGGAAAGAAGTTATCTGGGGGTTTCCTCTGCGAGCATGGCCACTGCTGTTCGATATGTTCAAGAGCTCCCTAGGGCAGCAAAGAGGGCAACAAAGCTGTGTGGGCCCATCCTTTCACCGTTCTCCTGGCTGCACCAAGCAGTTATGGCTGCTCCAAGTGGGATTCTGCTCATTGTCCATGCAAAATAAAAGTTAAGTAAAGCAAAATAAAATAATTAAGTAGTGGATGTACTGTTCTAGTTCTGGGAGCTGATTCTGGAAGAGAATAGGGAAAGTTTGTGTACATCTTCCTCATCTGCCCTTCCCTTCAGTAATACACTGAGGTGGTATTTTGTTTCCTGACTGTGACTATCCTTAGTTAAAATGAATGTTTATTGAGATGACTGGAACAATGTGCCTGGGCATCATAATGACAAAACAGAACATCTGACCCCCAAATGTTAAAAAAATGTATGTTTTTTAGTTAGGCAGATCCCCCCCATAAACTGCTTATTTTCTGTATTACAGCTGAACACACAGACTGTCTAACTGTTGATGCAGAAGGACCTCTCATTTAGTGGGGTGAACAGTTGCAAAGTCACAATTAATATTCCAGGGATAACTGTCAGGATTCTCTGTGACCCTCCTGACAAAGACTATTTTTATAACTGAAGAAATTAGGTTGTGTTGCTCCCCCATTCCCATGCAGTGTTCCCAGGGTAGCACCTTTTTTTAGACACCTGAAAGTGACCCTATTTAGAAACACCATTAAAGTCCTCTAGAGACGACATCCCACTCTCAGCTTTTCTTTTATTTTGTCTTATTAAGCATACTATTTTCTGCCTCCCTTGTACAGCTCAGCCTGAGGCCTACCGTGGCTGAACTTCAAGCAAGACGAATCCTACGGTTTAATGAGTACGTGGAGGTTACGGATTCTCCAGATTATGACCGTCGTGCTGACAAGCCGTGGGCCAGGTTAACTCCTGCAGACAAGGCAAGGGGCAAATGTAGATTATAAGAAAATGATTACATCTTTCCTTTTGGTGGGTCCTTTGATCTGCAATTTCTTGGTGCCAGCATCATGAATGACATCTGCTGGAGGCAGTGATGTTGTCATGTTGCTGTGCATTTACTGCTTCCAGCTAAGAAAACTCACTCAGGTGCCTATTAAGAGTGCATATGCTAGCGCTGTTACAGCAGCTCGGGCCAAAATTCTTTGCACTTTTAAATCCTTGCTAAGCCAAGCACACAATGTTGGCAAAGAGACACGATCTTTGGAGTTCAGGCAAGGTCTCTGCAAGCAGAATCCTGCATTAGGATCACTTTTGCAGTTCATTCAAGTGAAAAAACTAGAAGCTATTCCTCCTTTCTAAGGACTCCTGGTCAGAGCTATCATTCTTGGAGTTAAATTTATGTGTGCAGCAGTCCTTCTTGGGAAGTTTGCCCCATACATACAGCAGTGAATAGTTTCTCTGCATAACTACAAAGAATAAGAGAAATTATTTTGTGATTCTATTTTAAAAGACAAATCAAACTCTTCAGTTTTCTTCCTGCATCATTTTATAAGAGGAAAGCAGCAGGATTTACATATGAAAAAGTTCTGGTCCTTTTAGCACTGGATTTGAACCAACTTTCATGGAAATCCTGACTTGTGCTTGGCATGAAAAGTGATTTGTACAAGAATCCATTGTTTTCTAGCTGAGGACTATGAAGCACTGAATTGATTTCAGCTTGTATTTTAGTATTTATGTCAGTTCAAGGAGTGAATCTCACGTCATCAAGGTGGAGACACTGAAAGTTTCCAGACGTGTTTCTATATGTTGACTCTGGGAGGGGCTGAGCCCTCTCTAGTCCTCAACTAGTCTGTGGGAGAATAGAGCGCCCAGCATCTCCATTTTCACTGAAGCCCATCTTCCGAGAAAACCTGGGTAAGCTTCCTAGAACAAGCAGTGAGTTTCCTATCTAATTTAGGATGCTTTTTTTAATCTCAGCTCATTTTGTAATGAACAGATGTCGAAGGTTGCTTCTGTGATCCTCACCGGCCTCAGCAGAAAGGCAAAGGCCCCGGGTCTGGAAACTCCCTGCCCTTTTCTCCCAAGGAAGTAATTTTTCTAATTCCAGTGGGAACAGAAGATAGCACTGTAAAAATATTATGGAGCTGTAGCTCTGTTGTCTTTGCTACTGATTTGGTGCTCAGAAATTACTCTCTCTTTTTCCTTATTGCAGCAATCTCGTACAAGCATGCTGCTGTGGCTAACTGGAACCATACCCTGTTTAAAATGAAGTTTTTCATTTACGAGACCTCAGTCTGGTGACGCTGTAATTTTATCATGTTGTATGTCTGTTCATCATTGAAAGGCATGCATGCCAGATGAGATTTCTTTAGGGATTAATGAAATGACAGTGCTTTTTACTTAAAATAGAGAAAAGAGAAAGCAAGAATAAACTGACATTTTATTTTGCAGTGAATGTGGGAAATCACTTGTCTCAGAAACAAAAGCCTTTCTAGTATCAAAGAATCATAAAGTTTGGAAAAGACCTCTAAGATCATTGAGTCCAACTGTTGACCCATCCCTACCATGCCCACTAACCATGTCACTCAATGCCAGATCTACATGTTTCTTGAGTACCTCCAGGGACAGTGACTGTACTACAACCACTGGTAGCATGTTCCAATGCATCAAAAACCTGTCTGTGAAGAACTTTCTCCAAATATCCAGCCTGAACCTCCCCTGGCACAACTTAAGGCCATTACCTCTTGTCCTATCCCTAGTTACAAGGGAGAACCCCCACCTCACCACATCCTCCATTCAGGCAGTTGTAGAGAGCGATAAGGTCTCTGCTGGGCCTCCTTTTCTCCAGACTAAGCAATCTCAGTTCTCCCAGCCACTCATCATAAGAGTGACAGCAGGGCGATAGCATTTGAGGTGTGCAGCCTCCCTGGTGCAGAGCCAAGGGGACAATCACCTCCCTCATCCTGACCACACTACAAGACAAGATGCCATTGGTCTTCTTGGCCACCTGGGCACATTGCTAACTCATGCACAGCTGGTTATCAGCCAGCACCTCCAGATCCTTTTCTACCACACAGCTTTCCAGCCACTCTGCCCCAAGCCTATAGCATTGCATCACTGTAACTTATCCAGATCCTTCTGTAGGGTCTTCCTACCCTCAGGCAGATCCACACTTCGTCCCATCTTGGTGTCACCTGCAAACTTACTGAGGGTGCACTCAGTCCTCATCCAGATCATCAGTAAAGATAAAAAACAGGGCCAGCCCCAAAACTGACCCATGGCAACACCACCTATGACCACTCACCAGCTGGATTTAACTCCATTCAATACCACTCTTCGGCCTGGACTCCCAGCTGTTTTTTTTTACCCAGTGAGGAGTGTACCTGTCCAAGCCATGGACTTCTGCAAGACTGAAGTCTGAAGTGCTGTGGGAGACAAAGTCAGAGGCCTTACTAAAGTCTAGGTAGATCCACAGCCTTTTCCTCATCCAATAGGCAGGTCTCCTGGTCACCAAAGGAGATCAGGTTGCTTAAATAGGAGCTGCCTTTCGTGAAGACATCCTGGCTAGGTCTGATCCCTTGGTGTTGTGTCCCACATGTAATCTATACATTAGAATTTTTCAGAAATAACATGTATTACCTGATGAAGTAAATTGCTTATTATTCTTTTAACATAAGCAGCAAGGACTGACATTTGTGAAGTGCACTGAATTTATGTTGTTCTTTAGTATCTGCCAACTAAAAGCATGGAATGTCCAAATATTTTGTGCAATTTTACATAGAATTAAGCAAACCAAGTGACTAATTTGCACTTAAAAAGTGCTATTCATCTTGCATCCTTGAAGTTCTGTCTTCATGTTTCTTACAGTTGCATATATCGTTGTTGTTTGTTAGGCGGCAATACGGAAAGAACTGAATGAATTTAAAAGCACAGAAATGGAAGTACATGAGGAAAGTCGACAGTTTACCAGGTGGGTGAATCCATCTTTTTGTGTAAGTCAGAGAGAAGACTATGACAGCTGCCCTTTGCCTTTCTGCAGTCCTCTGCAAGTGTCTCATGACTAAATAGACTCCTGTCTTTAGTTTCCTTGAATCCCACCAGAATCCTGATGCTGATTCTGGGGGTTGCTGATGCATCCCTAATGCTGGCAGGGCAGTGAAAGTGACTGCAGTCAATCAGTTACTAAGTGGAGAAAGATTGTTTGGGAAATCTAAACAGTAATCCTTTGAAAGGACTAAACATGCCTCTCAGGTGAATTTAACAGTCCTCCCTTGCTTTTTGGAAGCATGCAATTTGTAATTGTGTTTGGTTAGTGATGAACTTCAGAAAAGTCTCCATCGATATTATGGGCAGTCACCTAAACTTGTGATAGCATTTTCTGGGGAATGAGACAAAATCCCTTGTTTGTTACTTGTAATATTTTAATCCAGACTTGTTTTATTCTCTGTATTGGATAACATGAAGATTTAGTTTGAAACACGATTGCTTAAAGAACTCTGAAGTGTCCAGTTTTTAGTAGAACTTCAAAATTTGGCAGATTTATTCCTAGGAGGGGAGAGGAGGTTTCTGCCATCCCCATGGTATCTGATGTATCTTTTGAAATTCTGAAGGCTGAAAACTGCCACCAGAAGCAGAGCTTGCAGTTAGGATCAGCCAACACCACATGCATAGTGTTATTGTCTTCACTTTCACACAGAGTTGTCAGATACAGACAGTTGCCCCGCTATTTCAATCAAACTTAAGATCCTAGCAGGTGAGTGTGAATCCTATAGTGTCACAGTAAAAATTCAAATCACGTTCTGACAATTAGAAAATGTCCTTTTCAGATACAGTTCTTTACCTTTTCATTTGGCTTCTGGTGTCATTTTCTCTTCAATTTTCTCTTCAATTAGTATATCCTATTCAGAACTATAAAAATAATATTTTTTAAATGGGCATCACAGTGGAGAGAAGGAAAATGTTTAGGAATTGAAATCTGGGTGAAAGAGATGGAGTGCCACCCCTTGCTTAAGTTGTTTTATTTTCCAAGTTGCACCGCATAAAAGAAGCATAAGTACAAATATGCATGAATCATACAAAAAGAATGAGATATTTTTTCACTGGAATTGAAAACAGTTGAGACTGATTATAGTTGGATTCTTGAAAGCTGAAGAAAATATTCAGTGGAGCGACAAACCAGTTAAAAAGTGAAAACTTTTTTTGAGATGGTTCTTGGAAAATAGAGTCAAAAATAATAGGCATGGCCAAATGATGGCAAATACAGGTAGAGATACTACAGAGTCCTGGAGGAATTTGATCTCAAGGGATGTATGATTCTCTCTGCACCCTTTATTTACACTGAATGTGTTGTGGAGCCACTGCGTAGAACTCTAAAAAGAGCAACACTAGAAAATGTCTATTTAGGTAACTAAATTAATGCAGATGTTTAAAGTCAGTTGCATTTTTGAGCAGAAAGAAATTCAGTTTCCTACTGGATCTTTCATTTAAAATTATGTAGTTGGCCATTACATTTGAATTGATATGAACATGATTTGTTTTATGAAGGCTGTAGACAAAAGTCATTGTCCAGAGAAGGAGTTAACTCTTCTAAACAATTTTTGTTTGAAGGATGATTACTGAGATAGTACAAACTTGCACCGGTGGTTGGTTAACAAAGATTCATTTGTGAAGCTCTTTGATAGAGTGAGACAACAAAGAAGCCACTTAATAAACAAAAAAATTCTTACAACATACCATCAGTTATATTATTTCACATTATAAAAAGTTCTGTTATTATAGTCAGTATTTACAGTATCTTTGAATTATTCAAATCTCATGCTAAACTTGGGAGAGAAAAGCCACTGTTTTTCATTGTTCATTATTTACTGCACAATAACTGTCAGCTGAATGGTTCTTCTACTACTAATTTAGATTGATTCCTTCTGTTGTTCTGTAACAGAATCCAAGAAATTGAGTTTCTAAAAATGAGGAATAAATCAAAGCTTGGGAAGAGGATATTAGTAGATGTTTATAAAGCCCTTCTAATGGAAATGCTATATATAGTCAATATATAAACAATATATACAATATTGCTATTCTTCACAAGTAAAAAAACCTGCCTTTTTTTGCAATGCACGGTACCCACTCTTAGCAGATGAGCTGCATAGTTGTGAATGTCACCTTTTGTGTACACCTCCTGTATTTGAAAACACTTTCCCGTTCTGTGCCATATTACTGAGGCAATGGGGGGCTTCCTTTTGTTTCTCTTCTCTGGGGCCATTTTACACAGTGAGGTGTATTTGGGCCTTTATTTGTCCCAGCTGGCAAAGAAAGCTTCTGCCATGCTATAAAATTTGTTGCTTGCTTTAAAAAAAAATCCTTTAAATCTTTTTTTTTTTTTTTTTTTAAAGCCTCATTTTGCAGAATCTTTGAAAAACAGAAAGTTAATTTTTATGGCTCAGCAAAGCTCTTCTGGTTTACCATCAGGATCTCTCCAAATAGCAGATGCAATACGGCTCAATCTGTGCTGCTAAACAAAGCAGTTTGGAGGCTGTTGTCCATTCCTGAGGCCAGCAGACTCGGCACGGCTTGGATTCCTACAGCTAACTTCTTACCTCCCACAAGCAAATGAGGGTGTCTTGCTGTCCCTGGCTGTGTCCAGTCCCCCTGTTGGCCTGTGCTAACCCTATGCTGTGCCCAGGCAGTGTCTGGAAGACCAGTGGTTGGCCCAAGCAAAGCTGTGCTAGGGGCCGTAGCATAGCAGGTTAATGAAGTGGACAGACACATATTAGTGCCTGAGCTACATCATAGCTGTATGTCAGTTGCAGCAATGTAATTCTAATTGATTTATCATTTCAGGTTTCATCGTCCATAGTTGTATGACCACATCCCATGTTTTATGTAACAATTTTCTTTGGGGAAATCATTGTGTCCTGAAGACCCAAGAGTGCACTGGAACTTGACTGAGTGTGAGTGTATCTTGCAGCTTGCCCTGAAGTTAATGAAGGATGTGGCCTCATCTTTATTAATGAACAAATTAATTGACTAGGAGGAGAAGCCATATGAAGTGTTTATTTTAACAAAGATACATCTCGATGCTAAGACAGAGCATGGTGCTGTGGCCAGCCCACAGAGACGAGCTGATGGTCTTCTTCATCAGAGTTTGACACATCGGGAAGAGCAGAAGACAATCACTTGAGAGCCTAGGGCCAGGAACTCCTCAGACCTTATGGCATTTTGACTGGGGGTAACTGAGGAGGGGAGCGTGAGGAGGACTGAGAGCAGGGGGAGGGAGACTTCCCTTGTCAGCCAAAAGCGAATGGTGGGATGGTTGGCACTGTTTAGGGATGCACTTGGCCAGTGGGAAGAATCGTTTAAAAAAACAAACAAACAACTGTGTGAGCAGCTGTGCATGTAAATTCTAGTGGCTGCAGCCTGTCTGAGAAAGACAGAAAGCCACAAGTCCTCATGTCATCAGTACTTTAGTGAAGAACTGTAATTTTCTCTGGTGCCAGTAAATGCAGATGCCAGAAATTAGTCCTATTATAACTCAGAAATCTTTTTTTAAAATCCTGATGAGCATGCTTCAAGAAAATACATTGAACATTCATACAGAACAAGTATATTTTTCATTTTTTAATGTTGGCATACTCTGGATCCTCCTAAATAGGTAAACAGGATTCAGAGAGCAAACGACACCTGACGCTATGAATGCAATGAAATTCTTTGTGTTTAAAAACACTCCTTTCCACCTGTCGCTTGCCATTCAAACCAGAGGGATCACTATCATCCTCACCTGTGGCAGGCAGTAGTGACAGCTTTGACATAACTTGTTAGTGTGGATCCAAATTCAGAATTGAAATGGGGCACAAAAGCCCTTACTGGCAAGTTGGAGCAGTGATTGCTACATGACATTTTACATGTGAGAGCCCTTGCGCTGCTTATAGGAAGGACTCACATATGAATCAGTGTGTCTTCAGTCTGCGGTCTTGTGAAAGTTAATAGAAAATCCTTAGAGCATCTGCAGCCTGTTTTTGTTGAGTGTGAAGAATGCTTATTAGATCCATAAATTTTTATACTATCTTGGAATTGTGTATGTGAAGACTGCTATTCAAACTAAATGGTATGGAGTGTGAAAGGCAATATATGCTTTTTGTAAGTTGGCCCTAAACCTATTAAAAAGCCTGTGGCGTTGTTTACACTAAGGAATTCTCTGTCATATATTAGCACTTATTTATCCTTTGAATGATGTACACAACATTTGGGGGGGGGGGGGGGGGGGGAAGAGGGAGGGGATATGGAATTCACATATGCATACATGTAATGCAGTATTACAATATATATGCTATTTATCCTTTCTAATGTGTGTACATATTACAGTTTATTTTTGTCTTTTATGTGTCCTGCTTAGTTTTTAATTATGAAGTGTAAGTATTTCTTTTTCAGGCAATAAAAGGTCTGCGTGGATGTGATTCTTACCTCAAAACCTGCAGTAGGTTCTTGTGGAATGTTTTTATTTTCTAAAATGGAAGATTGTTGATTTAGATGTCAGCCTAAAGGCAGGAAGGCAATTTAGTGGCTTAAATTACATCTCCCTCTTTACTGATATTTACAGCAAGATTAGGTTTGCATAAATGAGGTGGATTATTTTAGTAAAGAGCACTTGAAGTAACAGGAGAGTGCTTTCCAACAGCGGCCATCCTATTATCATAAATGAGTTGACAAACTTTTTTTTTTCTTAAAGAAAATAGATTTAAATGTCTGTTAGGATCATTTGTATTTTAGTAAAAATCCAATAGAGTAAGAGCCAAAAATATCAATAATCAAATAAGATAGCCATCTATGTGCTTGTAGATGTACAGCAAAGAAAAGAATAACCACCTTGCTTTTTTTAATGGAATCAATAAGAGGCATTAAGATTCCATTTGCAGGAAATAGTTCAGCTTCTGCAAGGGCCATCATTTCGTAAATATAGAAATATCACTTTGACATCAAGGAAGCAGGGAAAATGTATTCTTTGGCACTAAATCATACAGAAATGATCAGGCCATTAGAGAGTGAAGGTTTGTCAGCAGTTCTGGTAGAATCCTAATTTTTATTTTTAGAATTTGAAGACCAAACTTAAAACCTTATACCAGCACTTAATAAATAGTTCTGCGTAAGGCTTCTTTTTGTTGCCAAACTTGGAAATGTGTGTCCAAAATCCTATAAAGGTTTACTCTGTTGACTTTGAAGAATGAAACACAATATTTCACTTCAAAGGAAACAGGTGGAACAATTAACTACACCTCAGTACCGCTTTAATCGCTTTCAAACTGTTGGAAGTACACAAGATACTCAAGGCAGAAATACAGGTGGGGTACAGAGTGTAATAGCTTTGGCCAAGGTCAGGTCAGACCACACAAACTTTATAGAACATAGCAGTTCCATTGACATGCCAGCGTATGTAAGGATTACATAAGTGAACAAATACTCATTAGGCTCTTAGGATGAAGAGAACCAAGTGACTCTGCAAGAAGACATTCCTCCAGACCAGGCTGAGAACATGAACGGCGAGAAACATGCTGCCTTCTTACTTAAGAGCTAAGGCACAAAGATGAGAATACAACTTCTGGCTCAGGCTTCCTCAAACTGCATTTTGCCATAAGGCATGAGGATATGTAGGTGAGGTATCTCTTAGGTTTTCCAATTCTCCTCCTGGTTTTTGTTAGTTGTTTTGTTTTGCCTTGTTTTAAAGTATTCTCTATGACTCATTGCTGGAGACAGAATACTAGCCTGGGTGGAGATGCTGAGCTGTTCTTTCATTTCTTGTGTAATTTTTTAATACTTCCATGATAAATAATCAAATGCATTCTTTTGCCTGCGGTTCAGTTAGCTACTAAAGCAAATGTATGTAACTGGACAAAAAGAGTTGCCTTTATTGGGACTTATGTAAAAATGTAGTATATTTGGAGAAACAGAACTATAAACTATCCATTGTGTATTGTACTCACGCACAGACTTAGAATTGTATATATTATTTTTATATTCTAAATATCAACTGGGAGGACGGCAACAGCTGTAAAGTGTTACCCACGCAATAAAAAAATGAGATTTTGGTATGTCACTGTGAAGCAAGTTTGCTTTACCTTATTACCTGCCTACCTGCTCATCTGCTGGTCCTCTGTACTGATTCCAACAGCTTCAAGTTGCTATAACAGCCTGTTGGACAGTTGTGTACTTAACTCGTCATGATGCTGCATGCCTGTCAGCATGGAAAAAACAGGATAAGCCCTGAGAAACTCCTGAATGAGCAGTCCTGGTGGAAATAAATTAAAAGGAGATTTAAAAATGGCAAAGAAAGAATAACACTTCCCATACAATACATAGAATGGGCAGCTGACTAAAAGGGATCCAGCCGTAAATTTCTGTCAGGTTGGACAGTTCATTTCAGTATCATCTAGAGCATGTGAGAAACCTTGCATGCATAGCTATGGTCCACAAGGTCAGATGTCAACTCAGATGTCCACATCCACACAGGAGAAAATCAGTGGCCTGAAGTGGTGGTTTCTGAACTGACCCTCTGGGCCACGTTGATCGCATGACAGCGTGTTGCTGTATGGATATGGGGGTCAGACGCTTAAGCAAATCCTAATTTATTCTTCACAAAACCAATTGGAATGGTTCTAGAACACCTCTCTGCTTTCAGGCAATATATGTTAGTCCTTACAGTTTCAAATGAGAAATTCCTCAAAATGTGATGTGTGTAGAATCAAAAACTAAAAATAAAAAAAAAAAAAGTAAAAAAAGGAAAAAAAAGAAAAAAAAGAAAAAAAAGAAAAAAGCTAACTGGCAGTGATTATTTAAATCAAAAAACATTTCACAAGCAGTGTTTTGAAACAGTGTAGGACCAGGAGCCATGCCTCTGAATGACTGCATGCATTCACAGCCTCTTGCAGGTCTGCAAGGCTGCATCCATGGGTGGATATAGTGTTTGCACATGGCTCTGCATGCCCCTTGCTGCAGTGGCTTTCACCCCCCTGCCCCTGAGCTGTGGGCCAGTACTTTCAGCAGCTTTTTATAAACATGGTCTGAGCCTCCATTTTGTATCCTTGTAAGAAGAGAAGATTAAAACTGCATATCCACTCAAGCTGCTCGGGAGCCACCTGGAGCCCAGGCGTGGGCTGAAGGAAAGGCCTACACGGCCTGTGACAGCCACGCTGCCCCAAGGCCTGCACTCCGGCACCGCTCTGGTTGGGCCCTGCTTGTGTCCAGCAGGGATGACAGTGTGAACCCCTCTCCTGACATGCCCACTAATGCATGAAATGGGAATGTAAACCAAGCTCAACGCATACATCTGCGCTGCTGAGTGTATCGGAACCCTGTTGTTTACTGCTTTTACATCTTTTTTATTTGCATCTCAAGGAGTCAAGGCCTGTGCTGCTGCTGTGAACTGAAATATAGATGTACTCAGGGTGAAAAACAAAATAAACTCTCCTCCTGGCTTTAGGAGCTCCCACATTCAGCTCCATTATTGTGGTTATTTTTATCAACAAAGCTCAGTGCAATACCTGCTGCTGGCATCTAGTTTTTGATGGACAAAAACCCCCAAAAGCTGAAAGGTTTAGTAGGTTGATGTTAGATATTCCGAGGATCAAATAAAAAGACAAGTAAATTATCTAGATTTGAGGATAAAATAAAAAGTAACTTCCCCAGAACAGATCAAAGTTTCAGTTTAAAAGAAATCTGAAAAAAAAAAAAAAAAGGATATGTATCTATATAGAAAAAAGGGAGGAATTGAGTAAAAACATGTTTCACTGTAATATTTTGACAGGTTTCTAGTTATTAAATGTAATCATTAGTAAGGTCTTGATGCATTTTGTCAGTGCTCCCATCTTGTTTCAAGATTTTATTGGAAACAGAGCGTATGTGGACTAGATACAGCATTTCACCAATATTTCATTGTTTTCTAGAAGCTAAATATTGCATTGGATAGGAACAAAGAAATTAATGGTATTCTCAGTATGTTCTTGTTCAATCCCTAATTCTTTATATAAAAAGTCTTGCAAAACTATGTCAAATTTAACCATATTTGATCATTGTTATGATACAGTAAAATGTTGCCGAACATATCTTGTCTTCCTTTCACTACTTTGTGTGGTGGCATACTGATTTGTAGACTTGTATCAATTTTGGAATTAAAGAAATACTGTATTTTGGAGAGTTGTTTTAGCTGGTATGCTCTTAAACAAAACCAGATATCAATAGATTGTTTCAGCGGACTTTTGTGTGAGTAGAGGTGGGAAGGGTGTGGAGATGGAACAAGTTGCTATTCCTTTCCAGTCTTTTATAGAGCAATCGCTCAAAGAACAGAATGGAATGGAATGGAATTGGTCCAGTTGGATTGGGCCTATAAAGGACATTGTGTCCAACCACTTTTACTCTGAATAAATAATGGCAGTGTTAATATGCCCTGTTTCATAGACCCAACTGTACCTCAGTCAAGAAACTTCAAAGAACTTCTGTTTTCTGTGGCAGAGCTGAGGTTGACTAGGGACAGGGCACTGCTCAGTGCTGAGCATTATGCAGTGAGCATTTTGTATAATTAAAAACCGAATGCATTTAGTTGTGTTTTAGCAGTGTGACATTAATGATCAAATATGATAACTATAAAGACATGGCTAGAAATGTCTGATGTTGCACACTTGTATTGATATCTGTGAATGTAAATAACTGGAAAAGCTATGAATTAATTACAGCTTCAGTACTGTAGCATATAACTATACACACACACAAATTTATTCTGATACTGTCATCTGAAAAAATAGAACATGTATTATGTATTTTTCACAGAGGTCATATATATGCTTGTTCTATGATGTTTTTATTTAACAAGCAAAAAATGTGTGCTGCCTAGTTGTACAGTACTGTAGGATACTCTGCTGTGCACAGTTCCAAGTGCCTTAGACAAATGTTTAGCTCTTTCCATTACAGATACATGTGAATGTATATATAAATATATATAAATACAAAATAAAGGAAATAACCTCAATAAAATTGTTCAGAAAATCTTAACAGACAATATTCTGTTCTTGACTCCCTAGCAAGTAAATGGGCATATGTAGTGGAGTTAGAGAGCTGTTACTTGTTGGAAAGTTGTCTGCAGAGGTTGACTTAGAAGTCATTCTGTGTGGAAATGAAATGAAGGAAAGTGAAATGAAG